AGAGGGAGAGGGAGAGGGAGAGGGAGAGGGAGAGGGAGAGGGAGAGAGACAGCTATGTGAGAGAGACACATTGATTGGTTGCCTTCCAGCAAATCGAGCATGCAACCGAGGTACATGTCCTTGACCAGAAGTGAACCTGGGACCCTTCAGTCCACAGGCCAATGCTCTATACACTAAGCTAAAACAGCTAGGGCATGATTTCAAACTTCGAATACTACCTACTAAGAATTAAGAGAGGGGCAGTAGAAGAATACTACATTTTTAGTTCTTTATCTTCCCAATATTTTATTTTGAAAAATTCTAAATGTACAGAAAAGTTGAGATAATTTTATAGTTAACACCCCTATGCTTAATAATTGGATACTAAAATTAGCATTTTGCTATCTTTGATTCATCGCTTATCTATCAGCTTCTCAATCCATCCATCAACCAGTCTGACTTTTATTCACGGATCAGGGTAAGTTGCATTCATCAGTACACCTAATTCTTAATACTTCAGCATGAATATCATTGTGTTCTTTTTGATACTTTTAATCAGCACTCTCTTCTGAATCCTTCTTGCTACACTTTTCCTCATTCCCCCCACTTTCTCCATTTTTCTTTTTGCACCCTTCCTCGCACTTTCTATCCCCCTAGTTCAAGTTGTAAAAGGAAAGTGTGAAAAATCCAAACATGGAGCAGTCTTGATGTAGCATCAGAAACAGTCACTGATGATCACACAGGGCCTCACAGCTGTTACCACCACAGGCCTGGGATGGACAAGGTCCTCATGAACAAGCTGATGTAAACCAATTTGCAAGAAAGGAGGGGTATAGATTAGCATGCCCACTTAATAATTTACTATGAGAAACATAGCTATCAAATACCCAGTTTCTCCCTGAACTAACCTACATGAAGAACAAATTTTGAAGGGTTTTGATGAAGAGAGACTCAGAGGAAGGGAATTAGTTAGACGGTCCTAATGGTATGAAGCAGAGACCTTATCCTCGCTGATGTTGCAACATCTGGCCTGCACAGAACCTGACACCAAAGGGGTGCTTTAGAAATTAGTGCAGTGATGAAATGAGTACATAAATACTAACTACCACTAGAGTACAAGTGCCATACAGAGCAGGCATCTCTCACCTGGACTGCGCTGGGTGAACCCTACCAAATTCCACCCCTCCAACTCCCTTTATTCCTCTTTGAATAATGCACTCTCATATGTATGCCATTAATTAAGCTTTCGTGAAGTCCTGATCTTTCTGCTTCGGTCTGGAAGACAACCTGTATTTAAAATAGGAAGTCTGTGTCTTTTTAATCCCACCCTTGATAAACTGATTTTACTGTTTTTAACTCTCATGAAAAGGGCATGATCCACCACTGCCCTAGTGTACTCCTTTCAAAGACCAGGAAACTCCCTCTTCCCTGATGAGCAAAAACCATTCCTTTCCCCATCTTGAGATTTATGTCTGATAAGAAATGTTAGTGATTTATTCTCTGGGCTTCCTAATTACCAGCCCACAAAGACTTGGCAAAGTGAGCTCCTTAGTGGAAAGGCAGGAACACAACAGTGCAAATGCAGTGCTTCTCACAATCAACAGCTTCCCCACAGTTGTGGATAAATCCAATCTTTTCATTTTATTTATTTATCTTTATTGCTGAAAGTATTAAAGATGTCTGAATTTTTCTCCCCATTGATCCCCTCCACCCCGCATCCTCCCCACCCCCATGCCTTCCCTACACCATTGTCTGTGTCTATGGGTTATTCATTTATGCACCTAAGTTTAAGTTCTCTGATTAATCTCTCTCTACTCACTCCCCCATGATAAATCCAATCTTAACAAATTAAATTTATTTTGAAATCCATAAAAGGATCTTTCTAGCCATAAAATCTCAAGGTAAATCCTTTGGTTATATTACAATTTCCTAATATAGTTCTTTCAAAGGTTTAGACGTCATATATCATATTATTTTATAGCAAGGGATTCCTGTCCTCTATGGCTTGAAAATCATTCCTCCCCTGACCACTTTCCCTATATAGATACCATAGCAAGTATCTGTAAACATCAACATTTCATGGTAGCTTCACACCCTTTAGAATGGATCTGAATGCAAGCCATTAGGGTATTAAGGTGAAAGTGACTCAGAATCAAGGCATTGACTATTTTGTATGAGTTTACTTACAGATTAGAAAAAAAATCCAATACCTTTTTTTAGGCATTGGCACCTCGGTGGTAAAATGCCAACTACCAACGAGAGGTCTTCTCTAACTGCCTTTCTTATAAGCAACCAAAACACAAGGTTCAGATCCAGGTAAAAACCCTTCAAGAAAGTAGGCCTGGATTGCTGGGAATTCAAACATTCTGACAGCAGCGCACGCGCTCAGCTCACAGCCCTCAGACAGGACTAAATCCAGACAAACAGGGAGCATTTCATCTAAGTCAGGCTTCAAAGGCCGTGGTTATTCAGACATCATTAGTTCTCTTTATTCCTTTGATGTCTCTGTCTCTAGTGACGGAAACTCTTATTTTTTTAAGAAACTAAAGCACAAAAGAAAACTGAAAAAGCTACAAACTGATTTGGCAGCAGCTAAGCAAGAGGCTGCCATCACAGCCCTGGAGCTCAATGAGAAGATAAAGGCTCTATGTGAAGGAAAGCCAGCCCCTAGAGGTCAGTATTACCATGGGACAGTCGCACTGGCCCGTGGTCCTGGGCAGTGTATATAGTTTTATTGGCAGCAAGGCAAGAAGCAAGGCCACAGTGCCAGGCAGCCTCCTGGCCCGGCAGCCTGCTGGCGTGGCCTGACCTCCATTCCGCATGAATGGAGCTATCACAGGAACTGCGAACTCCAGACTGGGCTCACTTTCACCACAAGAGAGGCAGAGAATGAATGAATATAGCAGTTCTTTCAAGTCGCTGAAGCTGAAGAGCTAGACTGAAATGGATCTGATAAGTGTGCTTGCACAAGCTGGGTGGCAGTGAGGGAAAAGCAGGGCTGAAGGAGGAAGACCCAAGGGCCCCAGGAGTGGGGCTCTGGAGTGGGGCAAGGAGTGGAGTTTATCTAAAAGTGTGCACAGGATTATAGACTGAGACAGGCACCGGGAAGGAAAGAAATGAGTGCGTTAACAATAGGCAAATGAGCCAGAAACACGTAGGGAAGGCCAATTCGGGATAAAATCTGGGTGGTTCAAAAAAATTTTAATAGCCACTTTGGTTTGGAATTTTTTTAAGTATTCTCTAAGAGACTATAAACACACATTGGGGGGAAGAAACAAAACACCAAAACCTCAGACTATCATTAGCAATAATACAAGTTAACATTTAATACTATGTGCTAGGCATTTTGCTAAGTATTTCTCGTGTATTAATTCTCAGAAGTCAGTACATTTAGGGATTCTACAAGACTAAGCAGTGGCTTAGAGATGCCGATTACCCTGCCCCAGGTTAGATGCCCGAGCAACACCTGGGCAGCCAGCCTCCAGGTGGAAATCCACGCGGCCCAGGGCGCCCGTGCCCCTCGCACACTGTCAGGCTCCTGCCTTTCTGCTCTGCAGCAGTGATAGCAAACTCCTGCCTGCTGGATCGCTTGCAAAACTGTGATTCCCTGGGATAAACGTCTTCCTTTGATGTGTGGCACTCTGGTAAAGCCAAAAACATGCCATTGTTCTTACTCGGGCTTCCTTTATTACTCATAAGTAATTCTGGAAAAAGAGGAGGAGCGTGGAAATAACTGGAGGAAGAGAAAGGAGGCGACGTGGTGGCTTCCGAAAGTGAGGCACTCCCAGCCTCCTGACCGCATGGCAAAGCTTTTAATATGAGTTTGGCTTTAATTTTCAGCTTTGAATAGCACTTTCCCAGGGTTGAAATGGCATGTAACAGTCACCTTGAAACATATGCTGAAGATCAATTTGTTTTGCTCTTTCCACAGAACAAAATATAGTTTATGAATTTGCTTTTACCACCATGAAACCTAAAAGAATAAAACCTATTAGAGAATACCATCCGTTTAAGGTCTTTATTCTAAGGCATCATGGCCAGATTTCAAGCTGGTTGCACAATAGGAAGCTGAGAGTGGTTGTGCACATTGGAGCAAGTTCTCCAGCTCACTGGAAAGCAGCTTTCAACTCCTCCACTGAAAAAGATATTACTGCAAGGTAGCTAATTCTCATTACTCAATTTGGACAAAAATATAATTTGCTGTCTAATGATAACTTTGTCCCTTTGATATTTTGATAGGTCTAAATTAAAATAATACTGAGGTACTAGGACTCTAATGGTTTGGGAGAGAATAGAAAACATAAATCCCACCTTACCTTCTTTGCCCATTTTTTTTCTGTACTTCTGTTTAAAAAACAAACTTCTAGTACGGGGTGGGGAGACCTATTGTATTATGAACCGATATAAATTTTAAGAAAGCCAGGTCTTCCAAAGTGAATTATAGTTGAAAGCAGTGACTTCCTTTTGGGTCTATATGTTGCCTCTCTTATTTGGGGGAGAAACTGAGTCTCAGTGGACTGACATATAGGACTAAAATCTTAAATCAAATAGTTACAATTCTTACTCTCTCAGGGGTCCCAAGCAGCCTCACCCTGAATTCAACAGCCCAGGAGACTGTCAAGGCCATTGTGGCCCCAGAGTAATATTAGCTCTTATTCTCAGAGACTTTGGCCACCTTGCCCTACCTATCAATTCACCTGAAAGTAGTCTAGAAAGATGTCAGTAACTCTCAAATACAATGACACCCCCCC